GAACATACAGTTTACTTTAAAAAAGATCTCATTTGCAATAATGGCTTAAGCAAATACGACAGCTGCAAATATGATTGATTTTTTCGCCATCATCAACTTGGGTGTAGATAGGTTGTTTCTAAACCAGGAAATTTTCTTTGATTCCGACAGAATGATAAATTTCCTTTGGTAAAGAATAATAATCGGCAGGCAAACACGTTTTCTTCATTGTAAATAAGGAGAGAAGTGAAAGCTGATATCTGTTCCTTGTTGAGATTTTAAGGATCTCAGAAACAGTGAAGAGTTCTGAATTCACTTTCTTAATTTGGTTACACAAATTCTGTACTTCTGATTTAATTTGCCATTTCCCATTTAGGTGTTAAATTTGAGTAAATAGTTACCAATTTTTTAACCTATTATTAAAACAACTTAGAAAAGAAAAGAAAGATTCGTGAAAGATTTTCACGAAATGAAAATTTTAATTGCCATGCGAATTCCCTTAATAATACATCCTCTGAAGGAAATAGGTTCCTGCAAATTCTTTTGATGAACATATAGTTGACGTATAATTGAATAATCCTTTAAACTTTAAATAGCATTATTAAAAAGTCACTCCACTTCACTTGCCTACATAGAAAGCAAATGTACGCTTTTCAACATCTGTTAAAATCCACTTTCACTGCAGCAATTTTTTATATTTACAATAAAAAGGATGTCTAACCTATATGCAATATTTCAATGTTCAAATATTGGTTGAAGTTATAAGGTATTTCTCCCGTCTTCATGGCGTGCTTTGGGGGTGTGGTCGTCTGCACGCTGGGTGATTTATTCCGGAAGTCCGCGATTCGATCCCGGCAGAGCCGTTCCGGTAATCGAATCGAAGGCGTTGCCGGTAAATTTTCATCTTGCCTGCTTCAAAAAAATACCTAATGTCTCTACACTGGCGCCCGAACTAAAAGGGTGTTGGGATGATGATTCTCCTGACCCAGGATTTGGCGACTGGGTACCTTAAAAACCCCAGTCGCCCTTTAAAAGGGGGAGTATATAAGGTATTTCTCCCACCTTCTTGGCATCCTTCGTGGTGTGGTGGTCTGCACGCTGGGCGCGTTTTCCAGAGGTCCGCGGCTCGGTTCCCGGCAAAGGAGTTTGCTCATTTTTCATGTTTCCCAAAAAATACCTAATGTCTCTATAAAGTATTAAATTTAATCTCTCTTTTGGCGTATATTAATTCTATACACCATTTAGAATGGTACTCATTTGCAATGAAAGCATGTCTCTCTCATGCTTTGGTAAGGATTCTAAAAAAATAGCAAATAAAATGATAGATTATTCTAAATTCAAAAGTTTCAAAATACCATAAATTTAGTACTGTTAGAAAATTTGTCACATATATGGCACCCAAGGCCTAAGCCAATGACAGCTGTATCTGTTTGTTTTTAGGTATGATAAAACTGGTTTGATATTCATGGATTTAAAGTTATGGTAATCATGGATTTGATCTGTTATTACTCTCAGACAAATGGAATAAGTCACAGTAACACAATAAAAATGTACATCACTGCCCGCTGCATTTTAGTATGAAGGATTTGTCTTATAAAGAAAATAACTTATTAAATGAGTTCTTGTGCATTTGATTACTACAAGTTTTATTAGTCATCTCTAAAGTTTTTTCGATTTATCTCTTCTCCTTCGAAGCAATCAGTATACGCCTCAGCATTACAATGTTCATGAGTGTACCATGTAGCGCCATTTGTGTTTCAAAAAGCAGGTTAGTTTCATAATTCTTACTGTAAACACGGTTCAAGAAAATCACTTCGATATAAATCAACACACGAACTAACTGTACACAAAGTTTTATTTACAAAATATTAGTTACTTTAAGTTATTCTCAAAACGAGAGTTACAAATTATTGTTACCGACTCAGTTACTCGGTTCTAGAAACAATTCTAAAAGAAAAATGCAACAGGTCCCCCCCCCAAAAAAAATATGCAAAATCAAATTATGCACTTCAGCGCTGCCTAGCGGCCAAATCGCCAATCACAACGCCATGTATTGTACAAGCACTATGATTTCGACGTGTAAGCCATCTGAGAAATGTGAATATCCGTATGATATCCAACTATGGAAATCCATATGACAAGTATGGATATCCATATGGTGAAACCCATATGACATCCATAAGAGAACTCATACGGATGAGTTGCCAGCAAAATATGAAATGCGGCATTCTACAGAATACAGAAAACTGCCGGCTATATGTGGAACGATTCAACATTTCACTTTGGCTAGGTATTTTATAGAATTCCAAATGGTAAACCAGCAAATTATGAAATACATACCCGATTTGTTTCGAATAACCAAAACTACGTACCAAAAGTTAATAAACGATGCCAAAAATAAGTCAAAATGACTACTAAGATGGAGATACGGGGCTAGCTTGTTTTCAGAAAACAAAAGTAAACTCATTTATATTGTTAATGAAGGCTTCAGTACTATACAGTATTACTTCCCGGTCACTGAGTTATTTCACATACTTCATGAAACTCATTTGGTTATTGTACACGCAGAACGGGACAGAATGTTGAAAGAATTTTCAGCCAAATACAGAAACAGTGCAAGTAACGATGTGATTTGCCCTACCACTTCTGCGAGACCTGCCGAAAAAACTAAAATTATTAAAAATGGCACTGTTATGTATGGCTTTTTCTGAATATAGTTTTCCCGCTGTCAGGTAGATCTTATTGATTTCCAGTGTCAGTCAGATACAGAATACAAATTTATTATAGTATACAAGATCATCTTATAGGGACTTTAGATTATTTCGAAACAGGAGACATGAAAAATGAGCAATGACCTCACCGGGACTCGAACCTCGGACCTTTCGAATACTCCCCGAGCGTGCTGACCATTACAACACGAAAGCATGCATGAAAGCTGGAGAAATACCTTATATACCCCCCTTTTTAAAGGGCGGCTGAGGATTTGGGGACCCAATCGCCAAATCCTGTTGGTGGAGAATCATCATCCACCACCTTTTTTAGTTCGGACGCCACTATACGAAGGCATGCTAAGAAGGCGAGAAAAATACCTTATAATCTCGCCAGTATTTTTTTTACGTATTTTGAATAAAAGATTTCAATGGCAGTCTTTTATTATTTTTTCTAAACAACATTTGTATTTTAGAGAAATGTACGTCTTTTAAATAACAGGCTTTTCATGATCATTTTCCCATAATTTGCATAAACAGCATTTGTCATTCTAAAGAATGCCTAGGTGTAATATACAATGCTTAAGTAAAGTATATAATGACTTTCATATTTCGCACTTTGCCTAAGAACGCCAGGCATTCAATGAAATGACTAGGTGTTCTATAGAATACTTGCGTTTCATACATTGCTTATAATAGATATAGGATCAATCCAGGCATTTATAAATGTGAAACATATTATTATGGTTTGTTTATGCTAATACATGAAGTATACTTTTTAGTTCATTTTATTATTGCAGTTAGATAACAATTTCTTCTGATAATGCGGAACCAATTTATTCATAACCTAAATTATCTTATTTCAGTTATATATTTAAATAATTTTATCACATTTTTCTTGACGGTAAAATTACTGTATAATATTTCTAATGAGATCTAATACGACGTAAAATATGATATCCTGGATCAAATGTACACTAAAAACTGAATTTCAGATTTTTTTTTTTAGTCCTTTGTCCCTGAAGAACTATTGTTTTCGTTTTGCGATTTTGCGTTGAATCACTATAAATGTCCGTTCACTTTTCAAACTGTTCCCGCCAACCGTTAGAGTCCTGCGTCATATTCGAAGAAATTAGGTAATGAAAATTCTGCATAAATGTATGTATATTTCTCGCATTGTAATAAAACAAAGATACCTACAACCATCCAATTTTGAAGACTTAATCCTATGCGATATGGCATGAAAGACCAAATTGAAATTTGGAATTTTCTTTTTTATCGATTTCATTTTGTAAAAATTTATCAAATGTTTGAATAAAAAACACAACGACATGAAAGCGAGCAATGGCAACAATCTATAGGGGGGGGGGACCTTTTTATCTCTAGCGCGGGGAACTGTGTATCGGAAATTCTAAGATAGGCTCTTTTAAAATTATTTTGCGACTTTGCTATTGAACTGAAATTTATAGTTTAAGTGCAAAGAACATGATATTTTATAAATAAAAGTAACACACAAAACGTTAAAAAAACGCTCCTTTGGACGTAATTTAAAATCTGAAACCTTTCAGATTTTTAGATTTTCAGGACGTAATTTAAAATCTGAAACCTTTCAAAAAGAAAGGTTTCAGATTTTTTTTTATATTTAAATTAAAGTTGTATAATGCCACATGCATTTTCTAGCTCTTTGCATTAAATAAAACTTAATTTAGTACAGAAAGCTGGATTCGTCTCTTAAAATACATTTCTGAAAATCTTTGTCTCAGAGGTAATCTAGTAAAGAACTTTTGGAGTACTAAAACTGGTTTAATATACTTTATTAACTGATGGAACATTTTACTAAATGTTTGTTGAATATCTTTTAATCGGAAAATAATTTAGGTAAATTATATTTTTTTTTTCTTTTCAGGATTCTTCTGTTATATCTATCTAAGTTCAAAAACAGGAAATATTTCTCAATTTAAAAAAAAAAAAAAAAACATCGAGTAATACTTTTGACATCAACTCCAGGTAGTTTCTTATTGAGCAAACCTTGCGTTCAGCATTCATTTCGCACCAAACATGCAACTATTTCCGATCCGAGGGTGCAAGAATATTTGAAAGACTGCTCAATGTCAACAAGAATAAAACACAGCCTGAAATATATCTCACATGAAAAGGAATACTTGTCGTAAATAATGCGTCTGAACTTGGATGCAGAGTTATAGTGTTCCTCCTGACGCGATTACAAAATGTTCCTTCGCTCGAAATGGCGGGAAACGGGCGCAATAACGATGGGCAGTCTATTTTCACTTTCCCCAACGATCTCGGGCCGCGTTCGCTCAAGCGTTGAGTTATTCAATGTCGTCTTCGAATGAAGCGAAATCTGCATCCGCACATTGTAAAAGATCCAGGATGCATAGTTCCATATAAAACGCGCATGCGCTCTGTTTAGAGTCATTACATTTGCTTTCTCTAAGTAGGCGCCAACTATCACTTAAAAGTCCAAGAGAGAGGATTTGCACTTTATTATTGCTTATTTTACCAAAGGTGAGTGGCAATTAACATATGATCCAAACTATTTGTTAATTATATGAAATAATACTTTAGATGTATTTTTATGAATATGGATTAAAGTTTTTTAATTTTTATAAGATTTTTATGACAAACTACAGTGTTCCGATTTAAAAATTTTATTTTATATGTAATACGGTTAACGTAATTTACGATAATAAAAATTATAGCTGCATTGCTCTTTTATATTTCACTCATTAATTCAGTATAAGAATTGTCAAATTTTGAAAGTTTAATTTTTATATTTATGATTAGGAAACGTGCTATGAAGTAGAAATAATTCTTAAATTCATTTTATAATATTGCATCGAATTCAAAACTTTCCTTTTATGGGTATGAAATTCAGTATTTGTTAAAAGGTGTTTTATTAACTTTATGAAATGAATAAAACAGCTGCTTTCTGTTTACGTCACCCTTGTCGTCATCCGAATATTAATTTATTTAATTTAAGCAAAACGTAACTGGAATATTTACATAAGCTGTATTGCAATTTTGGTAACGATCGTCTACTCTCATCCTCTGACAACAACCTTTCATGAAGACTTCCGGATCAACAGATTTTAAATGACCTCATACCGCAAATTTATCGCAATCACAAATATCCATACGTTGTCCAGAACTTAGAGCAGCTCATGTAGTCAACAGTCGCTATTAGCGTATATCTCATGCATTTGTTACCTCATGCATGAAGCTCATGCAATCAATGCTCATGTTTTTAGGGAACCGAGTCGCCAAATCGTGGGTGTGGAGAATCATCATCGACCACCCTTTTAGTTCGTGCGTAGAAATTACTGTAGAAACATTAGGTATTCTTTTGGAAGCAGGAGAAGTGAAAAATTAGCAACGCCTTCGCCGGGAATCGAACCACGGATTTCAGGAATACGCGCCCAGCGTGCAGACTACCACACTACGAAGGCACGCCAATAAGGCGAGGGAAATGCCTTATAAGTTTTCTAAAATTTTAATGGGACTTAATATACCAAAATTGGTGAAATTACCGATTTTTGAATATTTTGATTAAAAAAATGCCATAATATTTTTATTACACTGAAGAGAAATTTTGAAATGATCCGACGATAATAAATGGTATAAAAAGGCTTTTAAAATTTTTGACGGCCCCTTTATTAAATGCCACTCCCCGCTTCAGTGTTTATTTTTAACTCTTTCAGTAACTCATTAAAAATAAGTGTAAAAGAAGACGAATGCAAGTAAACATATCTGCAATTATCAGCAAATTCTGTTTATATGTATAAACTGATTTATTTAAATATAAAGCGGTTGAAAAAAACATTTTACTTTTCACCTTTAAACTGTGGGTTCAGTATATTATATAATATATATATATGTAAAGATTTTGGCGAGTCGTGAGGCACAGTGGCGAAACGAGATGAAATGACGAACTGGATTCTGACAAATCTCAGCCTATTTTCACACATATCCAATTATTTTGGACACTTATTCATCATAATTTAAATATGATAAATTTCTATTTACATTTTTTTTAAGGAAATGACGTAGGCATTTAAGAAGCGAAGCAGCGCGAAGATATCAGCAAGGTAGAAGCTAGCCAAAGAAGGACGTAATTAATTTACCAGCAGTATTTAGATACAGGTAATATGTGATTGGTTAATTTTAGTTTTAGTTGGCCTTTTTAAGTAGGGTTAAATAACATGGAAAGATCTCGAATTTGGGAGAACAGATGAATTTAAGGGGAGAGCACCAAATCTAGAATGTTAATTTTGAGATCACCAATTATTCTTAAAGCAGCTATTGTATTTTCTTATATTTTACATATCCCCCCTTCAACAGAAAGACTGGAGAGCAGAGCTGTGTGAAAGCATTAGAGCAGCAAAATATGAAAGATATAATTTTGATAATACAAAACGTAAAATTAATTTTTGAACAATTAAAAAATTATAAGTCGTAAAATTTTGACCTTTAATAACCTTAAGCACTGTATTTTGTTTAAATAATTGCACATTTTTTAGAGTCCCATTACAATTCGAGTCCAATCTGTAAAAGGTTCTTGTTTCTGGAACATCTACATCACAATTTTGATATTTCAGGGAAGGATTTCCAAAGATTTTTACAGACAGTACCACAATTATAAACATTTTATATACCTATTAATTAAAACGAATAATCATAAATCTTAAAACTTTACAACATACTAATTTTCACATTTATTTTTACTACATACTAATTTTACAACATACTAATAATTTTACAACATACTAATTTTCACATTTACATTATACTAATTTTCACATTTATTTTATCATTTGTAATAGCATTATTGGAATTACGGTTTTTACTTTTATTACTACTTTTTACAATTTTCTTATTTTATACAAACTGGAAGACCCCACAGCTTTCTCGAAGTACTCACATATCCAGCTAGATAAATTTAGAGGAAGAGCACCAAATCTAGAATGTTAATTTTGAGATTGCCAATTATTATTAAAGCAGCCATCGTATTTTCTTATATCTTCATGTCTATTTAACTCAGCAAATATTTCTGTGTGTATTATCAATCAATTTTACTTATGCTTCTTCAAAAAATGAAATTCTTTGTGATAAAACACGAACAGAAAGAGGTGGCATAATGAAAGTGTTGAAGTTCCCGTATGCAGCATTTTTTAAATAATGCTGGAACAAACTTTAAACTCTTTAATTGATTAAAATGCACCTAAATTAACTTAAAATGAAATTTACACGCGAGAAAAAAATGGCTAAAAGAAAAGATGAAATCACGTGGTTTATAAATAAAATGTTTTATGTCTTCTAATTTCAAATTTTGCTTTATAAAAATATAAATAAACGATAAATTAATGTTAGTAATATTCATTACAAGTTTTTTTACAAAATATATTATAATCAATTCATGTATTAAAAATGTTTTGAAAGTGTTTTAAAAAGCAAAAACTGGAAAAGAAAAATTCTACTTGCATTTTATGCCTTTTTGTAATACCAGATAAGATTTTAAACAAAAACGTGTAATTTATGTTTATATTAACAAACTGAACAGTACTAGATTTTATTATATATATATGTAATGATATTTTTAAATCAATTGATTAAATTAAATTCTAATAATATTGCTTAATAATGTGTTGGCGATTCTCTACCTAAATTGCATCCCTGTTCCTAAATTTTGGCGAAATCCTTTTTTTAGTATAAAATATATTAACTTGTTGGCGCCCGCCAAATCGCCAAACTCATAAATCTGTCATATTACATAAAGTCCTTAAGAACACTCCTGATGAGAAGATAGCGTCACCTCGTGATTTCAATTAATATCGCTGATTGGATGAGCCTCGTGACGCACACATATGTATAAATAGGGCTTCTGCTCAAGGTACGAAAATAACGCTTGTGAGATGGATGCTAAAATAAACCTACCACTTTATAATCCAAAATTTGTCTCATTCCTGTTGCCCCGGCTGCACAAAACAAATAATGTATGAGAAATTACATTTCATATATATATATATATTGAAATTAAGTAATAAAATTGTTAAGAAATTTGAAATAATTTAATGATCATTCAAACAATTTACATTCTTTAAACTGCTTTTTCTCTTTGCAATTTTCCAATAAATCCTTTTACTTAAAGTCCTAAAATTTATACAGATATGGACCAAGTTATTTGATATTTTTACTGTTCTAGGTACTTTGAAATATTTCGCTTAGTTACATTAAGGCAGAAAAATATTTATATTGTTTTAGCGAAACATGTGGACATCTATTTTTATTTCCGAAAAACATTCATGTGTTGTGTGTAGAGAGAGAGAAGGGAATAATTATGCACAAAATTTTATAAGCAAAATATTTAATCTTACTTCCAAATGAAAAACTTGACAATCAAGTCCACCTGCAAGAGCAGAACTTATTTATTCAACTCATTGATATGTTTATGTTGATGATATCTAGTTCATGACAACTTTTAAAAATACTTTTCTCTCCTAATAAAGGTAGGCTCACGAGGCTGAGCGGTAAAGTCGCTAAACACTGGTAGTTCGGTCCGAGGTTCGAATCCTGCGAACAGGCTGACTGCATAGGCGTTTTTGAGTTTTTTCCCCCCTGTGTAACGTGTATACCAGCCAGTTTCCTTTAGAAGGTCCTCCACGAAAGCATACCTCCTCTTAGAGAGATAACCCTCGAGGCTTTGCAATAATCACATAAAGCAAATCAAACCTAGTATCAGTGATTTCTAGAATGCCTAGGTAAATACTAAGCTTCAATAGAAAATAACGTAAATTATGTGGGCAGATGAAATTAAGTATAGTCAAAATAATGTAGTTATAAATGTACATATTTTATTTTAATAATTCCAGTTAATTTAAAATCATGTTAGTAATGAAATATTTGGCACAATTCTAACATAGAGGTGGTGGTGTTGTGATGTATTTAATTACGGCAAAGCACACTAGGGCTATCTGCCTAAGGGGAGGGATGCCTTCGTGGAGGACTTTCTGAGGGAAACTGGCTCGTATACACGTTACACACGGGGAAAACCACGAAAACACCCATGCAGCCAGCCCGTTCGCGGAATTCGAACCTCGGACCGAACTACCAGTGTTCAGCGTCTTTACCGCTCAGCCGCTGGTGGGCCTCTAACATAGAGGACATCACATTATAATTATAAAAGGTCCTTACAAAACTTTATACGTGCTTGATTTTAAGAAATATACATTTTCAGAGATTATATTTTGTATTAAATTATGATTTTAAGATATAATTATTAATATGTTCAGCAAAATTTGTGACTAGCTATTCTCCTTAAGTTAGGTTTATTAAGTTCTAGATTGAAACGTTTTAAGTTGAAAAGCCCAGAAATTCTCAATATTCATTCGAGTTATTATAACTCATCAATTATTTAACCAATGTTCACCAACGGACTGTATTAAATTTAGGGTAAGAGAAGGGGGGAAAAGACGATTTCTGACATAAAATAACATATTAAATACAAAGAT